TAGCCATCGGTACCCGTTTCACGTGAATTAGGCCTATATATTTTAAAATGTTGTACTTCTTTGAGAAAAATCTATATATATATAATTCTCTTCTGGGAGCCGTTAGAAAACAAGCTGCAAGCGCGCCTTACAGTCCCCTCTCTTCCTCTCTATTGCTACCACCCCCCACCCCCTCACATGGTCTTGTGAGCTGTGGTTCACGCTGTTTACATTTTACAATCATAGAGACGGGTTTGGTGACGGCTATTAGGGGCAGATAATTTAGTTTGAAACGATTTTAAACTTAGAGGAGGTAACTAAGAGGAGGCTGCTTTCACGTGGGGGGGGGGTAGTGTTTTTAAGCAAATATTTTCAGTGGCAGCATTGGTACTGTCGAATTCACAAATTATAAATTACTGAAAAGTAGAAAATAAAACAACTAAATAGCGGCGTATGATACGCAGCGGGTCGGTCGTAATTTATAAAATAGGTATTGGTCAAAACGCAATGCGCATTACTACACGCTGAACGATATTAGTGACAAAGCAAAGAAATAACTAACTAGCTAAAAATCAGTGGCGTAGCTAAGATTTTTGGGCCCCTATGCAAAAAAGTGTTAGTGGGCCTCTCAGAGGCGTAGCGACCCTTCCCGGCGATCGGGGACAAACTTTCGATTTGCACCCCCCTCAGACTTTCGATTTGCACCCCCCCCCCCTCAAACTTTCGAAAAAGGGCCCTATTTGACTTGGGCCCCTATGCCTTGCTTACGCTAGCTTTACGGTAGCTACGCCAATGCTAAAAATCCGAAACATTTAACATAACACAGGTACACACTGATTTAGTGACTTAAATGATTCCGTTAAAAACTCGGCTATTCCACTGTATTCTTCTTGTTTTAAAAGTGATTTAGTTTTATTAGGTTTTTATGAATAGATCTATAGATTTAAATGAAATAGTTTATTTCTTCATCGGTAACCATACCATATTAAATGCACTTGCTGATTAAGAGACTTAAAATTAAGAGACTTAAACTTAAAAGATTTCTTTTAAAACCCGGCTGTTCAATGGTAGTTAAGTTGTTTTAGTAGATGGTCTAAATCCAGATCTTAGCGTCTAAGTCTAGTTTTTCCGTAGATCTAGTCTAGATCTAGAATCCAAATAGATAAAGTAAAAACTTATAAAATTTTAGGCCGAGAAAATCGTATTGTATACATTTCATAGTGTAATAGCTCTAAATCATATTTTAATGAAATAGTTCATTTCTTTATTTTATTCTAAACTCGGAAAATGACGTCATTAGTTTCGTGCTCTTTTTTTAGTGTAAACATTAAGTGACGTCATTGTTAAATGCGCTCTTGTCCGAACTATAAACACTTTTCCGGTTGCATAATTAAAATTGTTTTTCTACATTCGAATACGCCTTTATATTTTATTTTTCTTCTTTAAATAAAATTTTGTTTATACATTTAAAACATCTAACATATTATTTTCTACAAAAGTCCGTATCAAGTTCTCCATATATCGCTGAAGATTTTGATGTGATATCCGGCGAAAATATTTTACGAACAGAGAGAAAGAGAGAGAGAGAAGTGTGCACATGGTCTTTTATATATTAGGATAAATACACATGCGTTTTTTGAGAAATCGGAAATTGCCTAAATTACTACTTCCGGTCAACGGAAGTAACTCAAAATTTGAAAGAAGGCAGAGAATTAGATCTTTTACTTATATGTGAAATTTCATTTATCTATCTGAAATAGTATTCAAGTTATAAGCTTTTGGAAAATTAAAAGTAGAAAAAGTTCCACTTCCGGTTATCGGAAATCGCTGAAAACTTTACATGGATCTACAAATTTGATATAATACTTAAATATGAAATTTCATCAACCCAGCTGTAACAGTACTCAAGCTATCGTGTTTACAGACAGACACACACACATAAAAGATTGCAAAACTATTTTTCTGACGCAGGGAGGTGTAAAACGTGGATATATTTATTTTTTTTTGCATTATTACAGTACTTTCTCTATACTTTGTATTCGAGAAAGTAAAAATAAATATAGATATACTTACTTTACGGATGTCCTTGAAAATTAGTGTAACAAATAAGGGCATATTACTTTAAAGATGCCTCTATAGTGCATAGGAATTATCTGGGCAAAAGTACTCTAAAAGATGCCCTACCTATACTAAATAAATATCACACACGTTTATTAAGGGAATAATAATGACTACCATAGGACTACTGTCATAGCGTAGATATATAGAATTAGACTAGACTAGTAGAGGTTACTAAGGACGGTGCGAACTTGACGGTAGACGATTTGGTGCGAGAGTATTGTGCGCGTGTTCAATAAAATATTTGTGGCGTGAGTGTGATATGGGCATGATGCGACAATGTACCGATGACGTAAGACACAGCAGTGAAGTTAAATGGGGGTTAGCTATAGTAGAAGACTGACGTATTCTTTGATATTGTGCACATGATCTATAAGTGTGTGTTAGTAAAGTTCATGTTATTTCATAAACGAAGTTGATGACATTGTTAATTAGTGTCTGCGAAACAGAGTTACTTACGTCCTTCTCACGAGTATAATAGTTGCCGTATGAATAGTAGTAGATCAGAATATAGAGAAGATTAATATAAACCCCCCATCACAACTACCCTTTACTGATGTCTGCTATTTCTATAAAAGTCTTACGATTCGGACAGTATAATGTCAAAACGAGGGATAGAAGATTGAATATTAATATTACAATTTGTATTTGGTGAGATTTGCTAATTCTTGGCTGATTTTTACTTTCTCGTATATACGTAGTATAGAGAAAGTATTGTAATCGTGCAAAAAAATCGAGATTTTTACAAATCTCGACGTTTTACACCTCACTGATACGGAAAAACATAATTTTGCAATCTTGTCCGTATGTCTGTGTGTGTGTGTGTGTCCGTGTGTAAACACGATAACTTGAGTACCGTTACAGCTAGGTTGATGAAATTTCATATATAAGTATTTTATCAAAATCGTAGATCCGTATCAACTTTTGAGCGATTTTCGATAACCGGAAGTGGTACTTTTCCTACTTTGAATTTTTCAAAAGCCTATAACTTGAGTACTATTTCAGATAGATATATGAAATTTCACATGTAAGTAAAAGATCTAATTCTCTACCTTCTGTTAAATTTTGAGTAATTTCCGTTGACTGGAAGTAGTAATTTACGCTACTTTCGATTTCTCAAAAAACTAATGTAAATTTTAGAAGTACTAATAATATTGCGTACTATTATGCGCTTTTTTATTTGGCGTTCACTTGGTGTGCAATTAATTTGTCTACGAGATTTTATTCTATTTTTAAAACTTTAAGTATTTGAAATGGATTAAAAATCATGTCTATAGCCCGAGTTCCCATCCCGTTATTTTATATAAGAATATTCGAGAAAGTTTAGGGGAGATCACTCCCGGTTTATTTTGTTTTGTTAGAAAACTTGATGTTTTAGCTGCATACTCACTGTGAGATCAAATGCAAGATTGCAATTATTATGTTTGTTATTAAAATCTTAACAAGATCCACCTTATCAAGTTAATCTGTATACAGCGAATGATGTTTAAAGTAGATAACTTATCCATATTATTACAACAAAGGAAGCATCATATGAAGCACATAGATTCGGCATTTTTAAAATATGTAAACTATAAGCACAATACTTGAGTGAAATTGCTTACTGGAATGATAAAGCCAAAAAATTTTAAAGTGAAACTCGAAGAATTAAAATAAGACACATCACACAATTGGCAATTAAATAAATGTAATGATTGCAGCGTTGGTCAATGTTTTATCCTACAGGTTTGAAAAATTGTATCACAGTTTCCTCAGCCAGTGGCTCGTCTCATGGGTGGGGTTCAAATAATGAAAGATTTTTAAATCAGAGTTCTATCTAATAGAAAAACTAAATCTAATAGGTGGAACAATCTGAATAATAACTAACATATAACTAAATTATTGGTCTTGCAGTTCAGATCATTCAATTTTTTGATTAGCTACTGTTTTTTTAGTTCTTTAAAGATCATTTTTTAACATAATGATATGGTATGGGTTAGATCCCTTCATTGATCACACACCTCTTTACTGGTAATTGCAAAAACAATATTTACAGAGTTTTACCTGTTTCAAAAGCTATGATTCTGGCGGCATGGTACTTTGGTACCTCATTACGCGTTTTCCCAAATGTACTTAACAGATCAGTTCGGGGTGGGTTGGGGGGGATTCAGCTTCATTCACCACTGTCCGGTCACTTTAGGTGAATTATCCTACCCAGCATATACCTAGGTGTGACATTAATGTCGCTCTAACGAATTGTGGTGGTGAGGTGGGGGGGGGGAAGTCAACTCAAAGTGAACATAGCGTCAATTTTTAGATGACTGTTCTAAGCATACATATACAATTATACAGATATACTGATTCAGAAATAGATTTAAATAAGAAACAGTGGTATTATGACAGTAAAATTATTTTTACAGAGGGGTCAATGGGGGGAGGGGTTGCAAACCCCCTACCTCCCCCCACTGCCTACTCCATTGCTGCAGTTTTTTTCATAGCAAAACACACATAACATATTTTGCACAAACACTCTTGGTCCAAAGAGGAAAAATTCCTTATGGCAAGTTAAAACTAATTAGTTACAAGTTAATCACCAATTTGTTTTCATGCAGGACAAAATGATAAAATATGAATTTTGTTAAAATTGTAAACCTCACATTGGATGTCAGTGAGCCTACCCAGCACTAACTAAATAGTTGTGTATGACAATGAGCACTCAATACCTTCCAATACCAAGTCAAAAACAAAAAGATGAATTCTTATTGAAATCTTGATGAGAGATTTATATTTATATTTTGTCTTAAAAATTGGTGAATAAATTTGAAACCACAGGAGTTTAATTATTATTATTTAAAAATTGGAAATGATTAACAAATTTAACATTTTACACTGCAAAAAGAGGATGAAAAAAAAATAATACTAACGCTGCATCAAATTTTGGGAGGCAAATTGGAGTCCAAGATTCTGCAGCTTTAAACGACTCAGATGCGTTGATAAGATTCAAGATTAAATGCATGTCCATAGGGTGTAGATAATATTTTTTCATGCGTACAACTGCAACTAACTGGTTTTGTGCAATGATCAAAGCAAAAACCAAATCCTGTAAAATGAAGTTAGTTTAACACAGTATAACACATTACGTCTAACAGATGAAGCCAGACAATTTATTTTCATTAAATTCACATTTCTATTATATATGTAATAATCCCTGCTTAATAAGGAGGTTGCAAGTGATAGTACTATGTGATCAAATCATTTGTAGTGCATAAAGTATATTCATTTTTGGTGAGAAATGACAAGAAAGCTCTATTCAAAAGGAGCTACATGGTCATGGATGACACATCTATCTGAGTTAAGGGCAAGGTGAATAATTGCCATTGTGGTTTTCTACTGGGATTAGTTGTATCCTAATGTGCATCACACAGGCAATTGCATTGATGGGTCAATTCTGTTGGTGGACAACTTTCAGCGTGGTTACTAACCCTGTGATTTTTAGGTTAGTAAGGACACATTCTACTTCCAACACTTTACCATACAGCAGGGGTTCCCAACCTTTTTTTACTCTAGAGCACATTCTAAAATATCGGTAGGGTGGTGGGCACCACCTATTTTAAATCGACAAACTCCTTTCATAACTTGTCATTTTCCCATAATTTATTCTTATTTTCTTATAGTCATAATGTATTAATAAGTTATAAAAATGTTTCAAAATAATAAAATTATTTGGCCTTTTTTTCAAATTGCATACACACAGAGAAATGTAGTTACAAAACGTAAAGAAAGGTTTTCTGCGTGTACAAGGTGTGAGGTGCAAATGGCAGTAGCGGTTCCAGCCTAGCGTAAATAGTGCAGTCTGGCTCGCCGCTAGACAAGTTTGGACAAGTATCGGACATATTTAATAAACCTAGGCAGTCAAAAAAAATTAAAACTGTAACAAATAATTGAAAATAAATCAAATTTTAAAAATAATGTTTATGAAAAAAATTCTGTCTCTGTCGAATAGTGAGAGGCAGGCACATACGAATCGTTCAGCGGGCGCCATGGCGGGCACAGGGTTGGGAACCCCTGCCATACAGTCACTACCTTAAATTATTTCTACAGACAATGAAACAGCACTTGTGTCTATAGTGCTGTATTACTGATGTTAAAGCTAATTTAATTTTTTTAGGTTATACATGTTCACTATTCTAGGATAGCACAGATTCAGCTCAGGCCAAACAAAAACCACAAGGACATTTGTCAGTGGTCCTGTTTGTGGGAACTGATGCGAGCACTGATGTAGAGAATTTCAGCCAAGTGCCTATTGCATACTTTATGCATGCTTCCAAGAAATAAGTCATTGGTAGCTATTTTGTAGCTATTAATTAGGTTTATTTCTGTATATTAAACATGCATGTAGTTTTTCTTTACAATATAAAGCTAATGTGACTCTTCTTTATATTCAATATCTAATCTAGCGTAAATGAATTTTCTTTCTAAAAACATTTTATTGCAATTATGCTTACCTTTACTTTAGCATACTGAACTATAGTTTGTGATATGGTATCTCGAACAGCACTATCAAGTGGAAGACATCGTACTGATGTAAGCAACAGGCCAGGTTCTATGTCCATTAAATTTAGTAAATTATCAAAGAATTTTTCTGCCCCACTTAAAGGTCTTCTTAAATCATAATTTCTGTGTTGTCTAAATATACGTGTCAACGTAGTATGTGTAAGTACACTGATAACCTGTGGAAACATGTATAATTAGCACTATTTTTTCAATAAATCAAGGCCAATCTAAAAGTTTGACATGCGTAGCAACACTAGCAATGGAAACATTTGAACAGTGGTAGAAGTTCAACAGATTAAAAAAAAAAACAACCAAAGAAATCAATGACTAACAAGATGATGATTTTAAATTAATCATCTAGCAGGACCTAATTTATTTGTGAAACTGGGTACCTGACAAATATTTTAAAAATTAGCAGCTCAAAATATATTAATTAATCCAAGCAAATTATTTGAATATTAGAAATTCAAAACTATAATTACCTGACTGTACATGTAATTGAGCTGCAACAGTATTTGTTGTGTCGATTCCTTGCCCTTAGTGACCCCTACAAATGTAAGGTGGTCTCTAGTCATAAATACAAATTTGTGGTCACCAGCCACAATTGAACGTAAATTATCTTTATCACTATCTTGAACAAAAGAGACTAAAGCTTGCATAACACCCATAACAGTTACAAGTTTATCTTCACTACCATGCCTAAAAGTAAAATAGGAAAAACAGTTAAGACATTATATGTATAACAATAAGCACTTATACTAATTTGTAGAAGATACAACTTTGTTATATGTAAGCTAATTGTTAAAAGTGAAAGTTCAAAATTGAAACGTATATTATTTAATTAATATTTGGATTAATCTTAATCTAAATGTTAGAATAGATTAAGAATGGTTGAACTAATGTTTATGATCAGCAGATTTAAACTTTAGAAAACTTCAAACATATTTTTAACATACCTACTATAGATTGGTTTGCCGGATTCACTGAGTATAAAAATATGCTTTTTTTGTTGCTTCCATTCCAAGGAATTTACATAATCGGTTTCACTATTGCTTGCAATAAGATGAGGAAGAATTCTTTCTGACTCTTTTTCATCATTATCTTGCAATAAAATTTTATTTATTGCTGACTGAAAGAAATTAAGAAACTATTAGGTATAGTTTAAAAAACTATAGACAAAAGTAACTGTTTAAATCGCAGTTCAAATTTATGGCACATTTCTGGGTTTAACCATGATTATTAATTAATAACCTTTGATAATTAAATTCATTTTTACAAACTTTTATTTAATTATGTAACTCACTGTCTCTGTCTAGATGGAGCGAAAATTCTGGCACTTCTGACAGATTTAGTTCATAGTTCATACGTCGGTCAAGACATGAAGGCAATGCAACATGACATTAACTTTGACTTAATTGGCCGCCTAATTAATTTTTTATTAATTAATTATTGTTTTGTCCGAATGAGTAGGCTGTCTCATCAAACTATTCCACACTATTATACACGTGTCATCACGTTTATTAGGTGCCCATGTTTTTTAGTCATGCAACTCTATTGTAAATTTTAAAAATTTAAAGTACTGGAAAAAAAAATTCATAACAAGCTTTCATGTAATAATGCACTAAAAAGTAGAAAATAAATTATACACTACTATTTAAAGAACTATAAAGAAAAGCGAGGGTCTCTTCCTAAATATTCGTAAAGGTATACATTGGTGCACCTCCAAAATGATCCGGGACAAATCGGCCCCGTTAATATGACCCCGTCAAAATAGCCCCGACTTATTATCCCGTCAAATAGGCTGCTGTCATAATGACTCGCGACAAATAGGTTCCTCACAAATGGGCTTTGACAAATGGACTCCCGACATATTGGCTCCCGACATATTGGCTCCCAACATAAGGGCTCCCGACATATTGGCTACCAACTTATTGGCTTCCGACAAATGAAGCGTATTACCACTATTGGCATAAAAGTAACCATTTTGTCATTTATCCACTACCGCTATAACCTCTTTTAAATGGCTGCATGAAATTGTTTTTCATGAGCCCCCCCCCCCCCCCTCAAACTTTCGATTTTCACCCCCATCTCAAACTTTCAATTTGTTTTCAAGCCCCCTAAGGTCGGCGCCCAGGGACATATGTCCCCCCCTGCCCCCCCTCGCTACATCCCTGGCAGGTAGGGATGTACAGCGTGGACCCCTCTCCCCACACACTTGAGCTGGAACAGCCTATAATCGACTCATTTATGGAATAGAAAGATGACCCTTAAATTAAAACATACTATTTCTTATAATAGATAAACTATTAAAACTATTATAAAAATAAGGTCAGCCGAACAAGAGATGCATACGTTGTATTACTTAAGAATGTTGGATAAGCTAACTCTAAAGAATATTGATGAAGGGGTCCCACTGGCAGGTGTCATATTCAATGAGACCGTTTTGCCGGGAGACTTAGTCTCTACGGAAACCATATTGTCAGTGGTCCTTTTGCCGGGAGTCAAATTTACAGGAGCCTATTTGTCGTGAGCCAAAACGACGGGAGCCTATTAGTCATGAGCCGTAATGGTGGGGGCTGTTTTGTCGAAAAACTAAATGACGGGAGCCTTTTTGTCAGCAGCCTATATGACAGGGTCCATATGTCGCTGGCCCTTTTGACGGGGCTCTTATGTCGGGGCCGTATTGAAGGGGCCGTTTTGTCATTGGCCGTTTTGACGCCGCATGGTATAAAATAGATTATGGGTTCCCAAACTGGGGGTCAAGACCACCAGGGGGGGTCGCAAAGGGCTTTCTGAGGGTTTGCCAACTGGTAGACTAAACCCTAGCAATGAAAAAAAAAACCTAAATATTTAGAAAATATCTGAAATTCGGCTTTATAAAAATCACTGGAAATGGAATAGAGAAGAAACAACGTGTACTGTGCAAAGTTGTTCTCAGTCATGAGTCTATGAAACCTTAAAAACTTAAACGTCATTTTGAGACAAATCATGCAGAACACAACAAAAAAGATGTGGCGTTCTCTCGTTTTCAAGTTAGTTGAAAGTGCAAGAGACTTGATTGAACAGGAAGTTTTCACCAAGAAAACACAACAATAGTGCAAGCATCATATGAAGTCGCATTAGAAATTGCCAGGCAAAAAAAAAACTCACACAATAGGATAAAATCTAATGAAACCTTGCATGTTGACCATGGTGAAATTCATTCTTAGGGATTCCAGTGTAGTAAAAATGCAACAAATATCTCTGTCTAATAATGCTATGAAGCGGCATATAGCAGACATGTCCATAGATGTAAAAAAAGAAATTTTGAATGAAATAAAACTTTCACCAATGTTTGATTTTCAAGTTGATGAATCAACAGACGTGAGTTTGTGTTCGCAGTTGCTTGTCTGAGAAATATATTCATTCAGATGATAGCAAAGAAGAGTTGCTATTTTGTGAAGATACAATGAAGAGAATAAACACATTTTTTTTTTAACTGGAGGATTAAAATGAGAAAACAGCTGTGGGGTGTGTACGGATGGTGCGTCACATTTGGGTCAAAAACAGGATTTCAGAAAAAAGAAAAAGAGTTGGCTCCCTAATGAAGGGGAATCTGCTGCATGATACACCAGTATGCACTCGTCAGTAAAACTCTTCCGACTCCATTGCTAATAAAAGTTGCAAGTTATTTTAAATCTGGAGCCTAAACACCCGTCTGTTTCAAGAACTTTGCAAAGACATCAATAAAGATCACGAGGTTCTACACTATAGTACGCTGGCTGTCAATAGTAAATGTGAATCGTGTTTTTGAATTGAAAGATGAAATCAAGTTGTTCTTGGTAGTACAAAGGAAACAAGACCTTTTGATATCCTTTAATGACAAAGAGTGGTTGGATAGAGTAGCATACCTAGCAGCTATATTAGAACATCAACATAAACTTAACCTGAAGCTTCACTTTAAGGAAAATGAACGAATATTATCTCTTTTCATGATGATCTCTTAGCATGTTTACCAAAACTGAAAATTTGGCAAATAAAAATATGTATTAGAAATATTGCCATGTTTGAAAAACTGCAGTGTGGTAAATGTTTCTGATTGTGGGATTAATAAAAATTGGAAAGAGGATTCTGTGCATCTTGAATCTCTTGAAAAAACGAACTGCAGCGTTATTTTTTCCTGAGCCTAAAGGAGAAGAATTTTCATTGTCACGTAACCCATTCTCTGCTTCCCTTGATGTTGCCAGCATTCCATTTGAATTACAAGAAGAATAAAGAAATCTTAAATTTGCGGAATGATTCCGCATATCTAATTGTATTAAATGGAAAACTGCACAAACAATTTTGGTGTAGTATGTACCATTCATACCCAAACGTGAATCGATTGCCTTTTGAGTTTTAGTTCCTTTTGCGAGAATAGATTTTAAACACTTCTCCAATTAAAAACAAAACAAAGAAAGAAATTAAATGCTGTGAATGACATGAGGTTGGCATTAACAAAAACTCATCCGTGCATGTTGAGGCTAGTGAATAGCATGAAATTTCACCCATCGCATTTAACAGTTATCAAGAATGATTCATATTGAAATTCTACAGAAAATTGTATTTTAGTGCTTATTAATTTCCTAACTTATTTCAACTTTTTATTTTTATGGGGGTCGAGGGCCAATTACTTTTTATAAAAGGGGGTTGCCACTCAAAAAAGTTTGGGAACCACTGCAATAGATACCAAAGTCACTCACACTTTTCTTTATAGTTATTTAAATAGTAGTGTATAATTTATTTTCTACTTTTTAGTGCATTATTACATAAAAGCTTGTTATTAAAACATTTTTTAAGAATTTTTTTTTTAACTAGCTTTTATTTAACTCACTGTCCCTGTCTAGATCAAAATGCCCGAGCGAAAATTCGGCACTTCTGACAGCTTCAGTTCATAGTTCACACGTGGGTCAAGACATGAAGACAATGCCACATTACATTCAATTTGTCTTAATTGGACACCTAATTAATTTTTTATTAATTAATTAATGTTTTGTCCAAATTAGTAGGCTGTCTCATCAAACTATTCCTTACTATTATATATGCGTCATCACGTTCATTAGGTGCGCAATGGTTTTTAGTAATGCAACTCTATTAAAAAACGAGAAAAATGGCCCGTTGAGGGAGGATACAACGGGCGCTAGGTTGATAGTGCTGTCTATTTTCTCGGTACTTTAATTTATTCAAAATATAGTCATAGGCATATCCCTAAAACATGCACCTAATCTCAATGACAAAAGTCGCATTAAGAGTTTCTTTCAGGCAACTCTACCACACCACACTCCAAAACATGTCTACCGTCCCATTCAACGAAATATAATTATATACTTTTTCCAGTGTCCGCTCCCTCCCAGAAAATTCTACCCCCGCCCCCGAAAATTTCAAGTACACCCACCCCTCTCTGGGGTGGAAAAAGTCTGAAAGAAACACTGGTGTCGCGCTTAGCCACTACCCGAAGAATTGCATTAAAGAAATTGCAAGAAAACCACTTTTTAGATTAGACACATTAATTAGGCGGTAATTTTATTGTAGAGTATCGATGAAGAAATTTCTTTTGAGTTGGGGGGGGGGGGGGGGCTCAGACGTTCTTACGCGGGGGTGGGGCTTCGCCCCTACCCGAAGAATTGTATGAAAGAAACTTTTCACGCAAACCACTTAGATTAGACAAAATTGCCTTTTTATTCAATGTTTACTCGAGAATCAATGACGTCATATTACTGTGTGCACTCTCCGGCTTGATATTATTTTCTACTATACGACGTCATTTTTCGTTTTTCGAATTACTATGCATGTTTTTAATTTGCTTGTGTTTTCTCTAAAGCGTTCTTGTCAGATACATACACAGATAGATACACAGACAGCGAAACTATTAGTATTAATTTAAAGTGCTGAAAAAATTCATAAAAAATGTTTTAATAACAAGCTTTTATGTAAAAATGCACTAAAAAGAAGAAAATAAATTATACACGACTATTTAAATAACTATAAAGAAAAGAGTGGATCTCTTCTTAAATAATAGTAAAGGTATCCAATAGATACTAAAATCAGGTTCAGCCTATTATGAGCTAATGAAGAAAAAAGTACTACAACTGTGAGGCCCTTTCATCCGGC